TATATATATATATATATATATATATATATATATATATATATATATATGTAAGTAAAGTTTGAGTAATCGATGAAGCATATAAAGTATAAGTATGTTGGAAAGCAGCTTCATCGCGAATCCCATCAATCCTTTTACCGTTGCTGAACTTCTATCGTGTAACGATCTTTGACTGGATAAAAGATATTATTTAAGATATTATTGCGAATGATGGCCGCGTTATCTATTGATATCTATTGGCATTATATTGGGTTGATTCGCGATCGATGAGGATCCGTGTATATTCTTGTAGAATTAAAATTATTTTTTCACTCGAGGAATAATATTAAATTTTATATTTATTCAATGGAAATAATGGCATTGAATTTTATCGTTTTACTAATGGACACTTCCTTATTTGAAATATGATAAAAATGCTTTTCAGTTTTGCTGTTTTCTTTTACTAATATTCGAATTATTTACGATCCTTCAATGTCCGTATAAAATGAGGGAAATTAGAAAAATTAAATGTTTTTCAAATTTTTTTTCTGAATATATTGCAATAGTAAAATTTTTTCCTTTCCAATGAAAAACTAAAAAAAAGGAACTTTTAAAGATGAACAAATTCCTATAAAAAAAATTAAATTAATTATCCAAAAATCCTGACACATCGGTTGGAAAATTCGCCGAATTGTGAATATTTTAATTTCCCAAGTTTTCCAAGTAATTTCGAAGAGGTGTTTCGATCGCTCGAGAGAAACCGTACCACTTTGTTTGATTTCAACCAACAGACCTGAACAGCCAATGAAGCGGTATTTAAAACTTACTCACTCAACGATGTTCATAAAAATTGGAGCATGAAGATTTTCGATCTTTCAACTTCGTTTAATCCGAAAGTTTCGATTGATTTTCGAATGGATAAAAAAAAAAAAAATAAGAAATAATAGAAATATTTTGTAAACGACGTAATAATAAAATTATACAATATATTGCTTAGATTGTTCTACATACAACTCAACGAAAAATACATTTATTAACTGGTTAAGAATATTTTATACAATTTTACAACATAACAGTATTAAACAACTGTTATCATCATTCTTATTTGTGCAACGAACAAATCACATTTTGCAATTTTTCTCTTTTCTCGAAATATATACATGCTCGGGATCGGTAGCTATTATAATTCATATAATATATTATAATTTGACATGGACTGATTTCATGAATAAACAAGCAGGCAGAGATTTCGCAGTGTCGGTAAGCGTTTTCTCGTAATTTTCTGCCAGCCTCGACAGCGGATTGCCACTTACGCACTTATGCGTGAACTTGACTTTTCGAAGGTAAACTTGTACGCCGTTCACTGCTGCCTGGATACGTAATCGCGTTTATTTACCGTAATTTTAATTACCGAGTGTAAATAAAAGGATGGGGGGCAGGGAAAAAAAGATACTGTTCCATTCTGTGATACAGTGATTCCCAAGTTTTAATCAGTCATCGAGATCAAAAAATTTCGAGACGTTTCTTCGAGACGTACATAATTGCTATATGCTCATAGTTGAATGATGGTGTAAAGATAAGATGAAAAATTTCCTTGGTAAGTGAGCCATTTTCATTGATTTTTATTTAAAAAGTTTGGTCCTTAAAAAAATGTGCACAAATAGATCGATTAATTATAAATAATTTCTAAGAAGAAAGAAAGAGGGGAAAAGTGAATACCTTTTTTAAATCCGTCTCGAAACGCATGCTATAATCGTTCCTGGAAAATGCAGTTCCAACGAAGCGGATGCATCGATGATCTCGTTTCTAGTTATCGAGTAAAATCGCGTTCCTTTTTTTTTTTTTTTTGTCATCCGCCAAGTGCGCACCGCATAATTTTTACACCAACTTTCACTTGTTTTCTTTCGATTTTTCCATCCGTAAAGGTTCTAATCATCGTCTTCAAAGCTCCCCGATGAGAGTTAAACACCGTTTGTGCTTTTGCAAATTCTTTTCTTCTCGGAGAGATCGTAAACTCGTATTTATGACTGGCACGATGATGAACTCGTTCGATACTTTCTACGAATGTAATGTAAAACGCAGTTAGCATTTTCGCAGTTGCAAATGCGAGATCATTTTTTTTTTAATATAATTTTTTTTTACGAATGTAGAATTATAAATGATATTTGATCATTTTATATCTTTTACAAATTAAGCAAATTATAATGCAAGAAGCGATTTAAAATTTCTTGGAAAAGATACACATATATATATATATATATATACGATTATTTTGATCTTAATTAGAGTTTCAATGATATGCAAATATTTACAATTAACATTCTCCACCTTTAACATTGTTCCGTGCATAGAAATAGAAAATAGCTTCGCATGCATATGCGTGACCACTAACTGGCAATAACGTGCTAAAATTGAACTATTACAATCGACCAATTACGGTTTAATCGCTTCAACGCTTCTTAGCATGTAAATCACTTGTATCTGTATTCCAATCGTTAGTCATACTTATAAATATTCAAATAATGCACCTATGTACATAGATACATGTTTTGCGTTTAAAATGTTGAAATAATAATATATATATATGTACTCGTGTTAATTTAAAAATTTATAGAAGTAAGGCCGAAATAAATCAAAAAGTTTCGAAGCAAATAAATAAAAAATTAAGAATAAAAAAAATTGGAAGCTTCGTTTTCTAGTTATCAAGAATATTTTCATCGATTTTCAATAACTTCTTCTCTTATTTTGCCTTTTAATTTTCTTTAAACAATTTCTACATAAAAAAAATATATACTTTAAAGAAAAATACTCGATCGTTTCCTTAAAATCATATATTGTCAACTATGTTGTTGCAATAAAAAAAAAATTCGCAAAACTACAATCTTAATAACGAGAAACCGCTTTCCTTTGTTCCGGTCTTGGTCGATAACTATACCAGCACGTGGTGAAACTCGTCTCTCTTTTTGCTCGATCCAACGTGTTTGAATAGATATATCGAAACCTTTCGTAATAATCCGTCTAAGAAGTAACTGTAAATTATGACGTATCCACGTGTGTGTCGAGAGCGTGTGTGGGAACGGGTATAACTGAAAGGAGTCGGTATGTAGGTTTAGGTCGAGAACGCATCAATTACACGTTCTCTGTGTAGTCTATCTGCATTTTATTGGATAGAACGTATCTCGACTTTGTAATCGGATAATTTTTTTTTTAAAAGCTATTTAAAAACTGTTCGAATGCTTTCGAAGTTCGAATTCTTTGGCTTCGTGATCTTGGCTTCTTTTCCTTCGCATATTCACGGTTTTCTTTGCTCGAGGTAGGTACGACTAGGTTATGTTTATATATACATAGTACACACCTATATGCTCTAATATGTTAAGTCAATGTAGAATGTAAGAATAGCTTATTCAGAGTCAGAATTTGAGTCAGAGTTTGAATTTTATAATAAAAAGTTGTCATTTTCTTATATTTGAATATAAGTGATTTTATTCAATTGGCTTTTTAAATTGAAAGTTCGTATTTCTTGATTTCCTGCTTTGGGAATATTCACATTGTGTCTTTGCTTGAGAAAATATTAATATTTTCATCACGTAATCCTCTGATAGTCAATGTAGTCTACTTACAATCATTCTAGAATATAAATCGATTTTGGAATCAGATACCTTTTTTAGAAATCTTTCCAATGCTTTAGAAGTTTGAATTTCTTGGCTTCGATTTTCTATTTGAATATTCAAAATTTTTCACTTGATAGAATAATAATCAATATTTATGATTAGGTGTATTTTTTAAATGCTGTGGAACTTTGAATTTCTTTTGTATTCGATAAAATTCTTTTTAAATACAATACATAATTATATCTATATATAATTATGTGCATAATCCGTATATAGTATTATGAGGATTTTGTGAAACGTAGATGTTGATGTTTGTACGTGTAAAATGTACCATTTACAATGATTGAATTTAGTCCAAGGAGAATGTTTAATGTCTTTTTATCATAAAAGCAAGTAAAATTTCCTTTTATGACTTTTGATCACTGTAATCTGATGATCTTATAATCTTATCTTAAAATTCCATCGTATCGAGTCATAAAAGTATTTACTATACATTTATAGAAATATTCGTAAATCTTGAATAATTTATCGTTCAATCTTACATGCAGATGAAACACTATTCGACTAATCCTTATCCAATAACTGTAGATATAATTAGGATATAAGTCACAGCTTTTTATTCGAAACATCCTCAGAAATTGAACAGTTAGAAAGATAGAATATATGGTTTGTACGGTGTGCACAATGTAACGTTATAACAGACTTGTCCCCTCGCTAATGTCCTCCGCACAATGCTTTTGCTGTCTCATTCGTATATCTTCCAATTGTTCTGCAAGTATATATATTTTTAAGGTCGTGGCTTTACAGATCGTACTCGTGAATTTTTAAAAAATAAGACAATGTTGAAACAGTACTCTCTATTATATAGTACTATCTACTCTCATCATTCTCATAATCATGAAGTAACATACATGTTTTCTCAAGTTTGAACGATCTCGATTTTGAAACTTATAGAATTGTTCGAATATCGAGTAGATTTTTGTCAATTTTTTCGAATTAGAATTTTTGTAATTAAAAAATTTTTTAATAGATTCTATAACATAATATTATAAATATATTTAAAATCTTATTTTTTCCCTAATATACTATGCATCATTAATCTAATGCTTCTATACGTGTACGTTTATTAGAGGTTTGCCTATTAAAGAGATTTCACAGTGACATTAGCTTCGGCCATAATTTCTCCCCATCGTCTGAATGAATTAGCAACGCCGATTTATAGGGGTCGATCAGGATTAACCTCGATTGCTTCACGTAAAATAATTTTTACCAATTACGCGTTCTTCATTTGCAGAAAGGAATCACGATTTTTATTTATATTTCGCTATTATGATTTATAACTGTATCTATTATATTTATTCTATTTTATATTGCTAATTTTATCTATAAATACAAAAATAACACCGATCTTAAGTACATTTTCTCAACAATTATAGAATCCATATTCCGTTTATTTCATTCATTTATTTTTCTTTTGTATAATATCTATCTATATTTATTTTATCCGAAAAGAAAATTTTTAGTATGATCCATCATGTTCCAACTTAACCTCAATTCTATCTCGCGATATAATCAAATACCAATATCGATATTAAATTCGATCTACTATCGATCTTCGATCTTCGATTCTTTACGCGCCAATTTTCATCAAAAAATTTTCAAACTTAATCTTTACGATTTCCTTCCATCCATAGAACTTAGCTAGTTATAAGTGGCGCTTCGATCAGGCATCAACCTAGATGGCAAAAATGGCGATCTTGTTTCGAGTGATGCGTTAACCGCGATCGTGGCAATGCCAGTTAGGCGCCGATAAAATTCTCACGTTACGGTACAGTAAAACTACCGCAAGCTCGGTAACTTCTTCGCGAATGTGCAACGTGCACAAAAGTTTCGCGAATAACATCTGCGTGCCAAACGAGTGTTCAACCGTACGATACCCGACCTTCTTCTCGTTCAATGGGAATGGCAATGAGGCGCGTAAATTTTCTCAGAGCCTCGTAGAAAAGTAATTCGTCCTTCTATGACAGAGGCTGGATGTCGATGATATGAATCAGCCTTGCAGTTATGTTCATGATTTCATACGAATGTTTTTGTATGAAGTATAATATAATTTTATGAATCGATATAGTGTAATTTTCAATTTTGTAAATTGATAAAGTTCGAAAATTGAAAAATGGAAGATTATCTCGTTGAAGTTGTACCGATTATTAAATAGAATATCACTAATTATTTGTGTGTGATATATCATGATGTCTTCAAAGTCTTTTCGATGAAGTTGAGTGGAAATAGGATATCATTGAATCAATAATTTATGGTGAGTCAGCTTTATGATTGCCATTGTGCTAATTATTGAATATTGCAAACTGTTTTATACAAGGTTGATGTAATATAATATATACGATATTATTTATAGTATTTGATGATTGGTAATAGATGTAGTGAATCAATTTTGTAATTAGATTTATCGGAATAGTGTTAATTGTTGAGACTTCTTAAAGAATAACGTAGAATGTGTAAAGGGTGTCAAATATAAATGAATATATAATTTAATATAATGCTCGTTAATATGTGGAACGTTCTAATTAATAATCTTAAGTAAATCAGGACATGAGATTGCGAGAAAGGTGATTCTTTATGTTTTTACTTTACTTTCGATATTCTTGCTTTACTTTACGGAATTTAATTATCGAATTATTATTTACAAGAATTTCAATCTCAATTTTAATTTCTCATTAGATATTTTTATTTAAATTATTTTATACGCTTTTTTCTCGATCAAAATTACATTTTATAATAAATATATCTTGAATTATTGTCTTTCCAGGTAAAAAGTTTACAACAATATATATATTAAATTATCTACATGACGGAAGAACGATAATCAATTACAAATTTAAAACTTTTCGTTGCTAAATTATCGAAATAAATCAGTAAAAAATTCAAACAAATAGATAATTTTCAAAAAAGCATGATTTATACTGATTGAGCTTTCGAATCCTTCGACTATAAATCTTAATTTTAATTGAGTTATGTTCACAATTATCTTATACGTATTTAATGCAACGAATAAACGTCCTAATCGACGATAATTGTCAAGGGATCGAAATCTGGTATAACCAGTTTCAAGATAGTTATAGTCTCTAATAACTATAATAGCATACGAGTTAATGTAACGACGTTTTGCACATTATGAGCACGTGTGGCAAGTACCGCAATTGGGGCGGGGCACGTCGTGTGCGATGCATCGTGTTGTGCACTTGGTATCTAGGAATGCAAGAAACCGCACAAGGGATGCGCAAGAAAAGACTAATCTGGCTGTCGCGTGTCTTGCGGTTTATTTCGTCATCACCTCGATGGAAATCTCGAAAGGAATTTCTCAAACTCGTTTCGCTCTGAATACGAAATTTTAACCCCTTAATAAATTGCGCGTAAAATTTCACGTCAAATATAATGAAAATAATTAATTAATATTTTTCTCAATATCTTCTGGAATATTTTCTGGGATAAGTAGTATTTTTCTCTTTAATTTTACAAAGTTTCCTCTTTATATAACTTAAGTTTAAGTGAAAATCTAAGATTTTCTATATTCATATTTCTAATTTCTTTTTTTAAATTACAGTTTTAAATGTTGCCGGAGGCAAAGCTCCTATGCAATCGAGCACCTCGGAGGGTGGAATTCCACAGCGTGCGGTGGATGGCAGCAGTGGACAGATTTACACCCCTCAAACTTGCACCCTTACGAGACCAGAGCACAGACCCTGGTGGTACGTGAACCTGCTTGAACCCTATATGGTGCAATTGGTACGACTTGACTTTGGTAAACCATGTTGCGGTAAGTAACAATATTAGGAGCAGAATTTCATTCCAAAATTCTGAACCTTCTTTTATCTAATATTTGATCTAATGAATGATTATATATTTAATCACAACAAATTTTAATCAAACAAATTTTCATTTTATTTAATCCCATTT